ACGCTTAGATTTTGTCCTCTGATAGCTCTGTATATCCTATCATCGGCAGAACTCGTCACGTAGACCAAGTCGCCGTCGAAGGACAACCAAAACGCTTGTATGTCACTATCCCGAGCACATTGGTGTACGCGCTGCTCGCATGTCGTGGTTTCAGGTACTTCGCCTGCCATCATGCACCGCGTCTTGGTCGATTAACGAATCGCTGTTTCTCACGGGAGATGAACAGCGAACTCGTTTTACAGAGACGCCAAAAAATAACCAACAATATCTAAAGTGTAATTTCACCGGCAACGTGAACTGTATTAATTTCACCGGCAACGTGAACTGTATTAGACGTGCTTTACTAGGACGTTCGATCTCCTGCTCTGTAAGACACAGGTTTCGACCGCGTGACTTTTTAGCAAAGAAAGCCCTATCGCAACAATCCTGGGACATGGCGGTATCTGTGTATCGCGTGCGCTTTCGTTCACGACCGAGGACGCCGAATGGTTAAAGCGTAGTCTTAGAGATTCTATCGAACCCACCACTTCGGTTCCCATCGGTGTGGCTGTGGACTGTGTTCGCATTCGACTAGCTAAGAAGAGCAATGACTGTAAACAACGCGAACAAATGGAACGATTGCGCGAGTACACGCGGTTGTTAACAGATCGAACTTCACAAGCCGCGTTGATAAAAGAGGTCGGAATAGATGGCGCTAGACGTAGAATACAAGCGTTGCGTCAAAAAAACGTGTCTCCCATCAACCCTGGGTCTGTTGTGAGTAGGTTCTGTAAGATGATCGAGCAGGTGTTTGAGTATTTCCGTGCTCGATCTATGAAAATGGAGCCCTTTCAGGTAGATCTCTTGCGCGGTGTGGTGTTAGGCGTAACAACAAATCAGTTCTGCGATGATCTCTACAAACACAAGCACACTTTTTCGCTCCCTCCGGTTAATAGACTCACGGTTCTTCATTCACTGATGGATTTATTCCTCCTTCACACTTCTCTTCCAAAACACCATTAATCGACCGTCAAACTGTCATTACACCAAAGTACAGAATAACCAAACAAATATTACAAATAAACATTAACCCAAGTTAACAAATACGCTATAAATAAACACAGTTAACGTACCTCGCTGGCTGCACGTAACCATAAGGGAGTGAATCCGCTTCAGGAACAAAACTTAACAAAAGTAATTCGCTGGTTTCTTCTTCGTCTTCTCTATAGTTTACCCGGTACCACTTTACAATAAGGCTCCCTTATAAATGGCTAATAAATGGTTTATAAATGTATTATTAATCCATCTATAATGCCTTATATATGACTAATTAATGTTTATTATGCATTAATTAAGGGTGAGAAAGAGACTAAACCTACTAGTTTTTTGCCAAATAGTGAACCAAATCTGTTGACTTATGTACTTTATCTAGACTTCATATATTAAACATTTCAAACTAAGAACCTATCTTTTAAGCACTATTAGCATTTGTAAACACAGTTTTGGGCAAATAATTAATGTACCTTATAACTGCATTATAAATACTTACAATGATTAAAGGGAGCGCTATTGTAAAGTGTAAAACATGTCTTTATTTATTAATGATTAATTAACATTTATAAATACAAACTGGAGCCTTCTTATAAAGTGTAAAACATGTCTTTATTTATTAATGATTATTAATGATTAATAAACATTTATAAATACAAACTGGAGCCTTATTGTAAAGTGTAAAACATGTCTTTATTTATTAATGATTAATAAACATTTATAAATACAAAAGGGAGCCTTATTATAAAGTGCAAAGCATGTTTTTATTTATTAATGATTAATAAACATTTGTAAATACAAACTGGAGCCTTATTGTAAAGTGTAAAACATGTTTTTATTTATTAATGATTAATAAACATTTATAAATACAAACTGGAGCCTTATTGTAAAGTATAAAACATATCTTTATTTATTAATGACTAATAAACATTTATAAATACCAAAAATTAGTCTTAAATGTTTAAATTTGTTAAACTTCAGAGTTACACTAAATGCTTAAAATATTTGTACAAACTATGTTAACTACTGTCAAAAATGGTCATGTATTGTAAGTGTAGCACATTTAACATCCAAACTCATCAAACACACCAAATACCCCCTCCCTAAAAAAAACTGTTGTAGAAGAGATTCAGGTTAAACTGGGAATGATTTCCATATGTCCTTGAATAAGCGTCCCAGTGGTCCATCAGGATGTTTTGAACCAAGCCGAGATGACCATTCGAGAACTTTAAGATGTTCCTCCAACAACATCTCTGTACGATTTCCTCTTAGTCTGCGAATATGTCCTTTAATTGTCATCCAAGCTCTTTCAATATGTTGTGTATGACTGCCCGAGTGAGGATCAACAAACCACCTGCTGTGATTTACTGTGTAATGTTTGTACCCCATGTTTGTCAAGACATTCTTGTAGGCTCTCCACTCATCACTGATAATGGCACTACCCGACTTAACATGCTGTCTGATCAGAGGAACAAGGTGACGCCTCGTTCGTTTCTCTACAAGTTTTAACACGAGCCTTCGCCTTTTGTCTTTCACTCCCATCAGTCCAAAGACCCATTTCTTTCTTTTCCAAGCATTTCCGAAGCGTCCACGTGCATACTGAAAATAAAAAAAGATTAAGGTTAAACAGAATATTTACAAAGTATATTCTTAAATGCAGTTTGCATCTTAACATTTTAATTGTATTGCTGTTATTAAAGTAAATTGTATTTTAACTTTATTAACAGCATGACAAAGATGTTGAATAAAAAAGCTGTTTTCTGTCATTCATTTCCTTTATGGATTAATTGACTACTTTTACAAACTTTAATTTTGTTAAATTCTGACTCAAGTGATTCAAATCATCATAGTAATTGATATAATAATATGTTTATTAACAGATTGTTTTTGTTTGGTTGTAACAGTTTTACTATATTGATTCTTAAATGTAATGGTAAAAACTTAAAACTTATATGTTTAGGGGACATGTTCAGATCTGGACTGATAATAACAAAGGGGTCTGAGAGTTTACAACCTTTCGCTGATGACGGAGACAGCTTTCATCCATAACCACAAATTCTTTGTGACCACCAAGACAGTGCCCTTTATTTACTCCATGTCTTTCCATTGCACTGATGCAGACTTGTCGAATACGCTTTGCCATGGCACTTAATGTTTTGGAGCTGCCAGCCACATCATCATCAATCATATCTATCTGCCTGAGCCTGAGCCCTTGTGAAAATCTGCGACAGAAATGAAAACCAATCAAAACTCACTGAGGCCCTATTATTAACTGCTATTCCTGTTGACATTCATACACACAGGCTACCTGTAGATGAACTTCATCCAACTGAAAAGAGAAGATTTTGATTTCTCAAAGAGGGAGCCAGTTCTAATTGTTCTGGAGACTTTTCTATGACTTGCTCTTTTGCAGCACCTGAGAACAAACCAAAAAGTGAGGTAAATAAATGAACCTATAAACATTATCACAAAATTAAATTAAAAAATAAATAAATATTGAGATAAAGTTAGCACTGTGTCTTGCTTTTAAAATTTGAAGGGCTGTTGCTCTATCCCCGACCTTCCTGAATGAGCCGAAAGCCACGCCTCCTAACGTGCACATGCAGGGAAAGCCGAGTCAAGTGAGAGAACATCTGAAATGCAGTGCTATTAGCCAGTGTGGTAGGCTTGCAGAAATTATTAGTTTAGCTGTAAAGCCAGGGGAGGGACTTAGGAGAAAAATAAAATATGAAAGATCACACTTTTTCTCATAGAACAAGGTCAGATGGTCAAAATTATTTTAACAATTCCAACTTACGTACCCTGCCTTTAATATCAGAATGTGATGTTAAATGTTCTACATTATCATGCATTCATACCACATAAATTGGTCTTTCTTCACCACAGATATCATTTTCATCTTATGGTGGCAAACAGGGCATCTCAGCTTCTTCTTTAGAAGGTGTTTCTTTTGCAGCCATTTAATCAGCCTCAGAGTCTTCTTTTTAGTTTGTTTTCCCTCTGTATGAGTGCACAACTTCATCCCAAGAGGCATTCTAGTAGGAAAAATTATATATTTATTTAATTATATTATTACATTGAAATACTGGTATCTTCAGAATGTCATAGGTAAAAAAAGGTCACTGATATAGCAACAGATCAAGTCTTTGTATAATTCTCGAAGCATTCTTTGAAAAGTCAAGGAAAAATGTAAAACCATTAATTTGACCAAAAAATTCAACACACAAAAAAAAATCAAGATATAAACATTTCTAGTTCCAGTTTATTTTACTTACTTAAAAAACACAGCACATACAGTTACAAACTGTATTGCCTCTGCAATCTATTTGTGTTGTTTTTTTTTTCTTTTTACAATACACAGCTCAACAGGAAGTAACACTTGCTAAATAAAAACCTGAATTTATAATTATGTTGACTTACTAAGAATGACCAAAAAAAGAAAGATAAATGGGTTTTTAATAAATATGTTAATTATCATTATTTATGACTACTCTTCCCTGCAAGCGAACTTGTAAATGCTGATAATTTTCAAAGAAAAATGTAAAAATGGCTAACACAACAGGAACAAGAATATTTAGTTAAGTTAATACAAAACATGCTACATTTACACAAAACATTTTCATTCTTAAAAATGATTTTTCTTCATCAGCTAAAGTAATATTTAAAAGTGAATTATAATTAAAAGAACAACCCTGCATACAAAAAATAAAACAATTTGCTCACCTCTTATAGTGCATTGGACTCAGTTATGAAGCGTTTCCCGCTGGATTTTTAGGTTGCATATGAAAACTAGCCATCGTCGCGCCAAAGGGAATAAAACGAAAATTAGCCATACAGAGTTGAGCTTAGTGCAAACATCCAATCACAGTGAATCTTAATACGGAAGTCCCTCCCATCGGTGTGCGTCGGAGCTGAGGTGGATCCACCAGTCAAACCGACACGGACTGACGCTAGCTAGCTACGGCAGCGCCATGGATGGACCTGAAGAGAAAGATTCCTGTTCCACTGCGACACCTGCGGTCAGCACGCGTTCAAAGAAAAACAAAAAGCAGCGACTGGATAACGTTAACACTAAACCAACGCTGTCAACAGAGAAACGTGATGGTGAGGAATGTTTTAATGCTAACAATGAACCATTTGGCTGCTACAGTGCCTAGCTATCTCTGGTACTATTAATTATTACGAAAGTGAAACCTCACAAAGTTTTATATTTTTTAATAGTTAGTAAATGTATATACATTTATATCATTATGAATAACCCCAGTGTGGTAACATGGAGGAATAATTTATTTTGTTCTGGAAGTGTCTGCTCTACAACAGGTGTTTGTCTCAGAACTTTTTTTACATTTGTATTGTTACCATTTAAAGTAGATATTTTTGTTTCTGCTGTCATTGAGTTTGCCTAGTTTAGATTAGAGATTCTGCTACTGTTGTTAATGTGTGTCTAAATTTTGTTTTTTTTAGATACTTCTTCTGGCCTTGCCCCTACTGCAACTGTGCTTCTTAATAAGGAGAGACAGGAAGTTGCGTTTCTTAAGGAGAAGCTGGAGTGGCAAAAGATGAGAATTGAAGAACTGAAAGGAGAGAGGGATTTCCTCCGAAGTCAGCTATCATCTCTGTCAAGTATGACATTAAACTAGTTTCATAAACATTGTTTAATTTTAGATTATTGTGATAAAAATCAGATAATTTATAAATATACATGAAGATCCCTTATTGTCACTGTGTTGTCTTTGGTGTTATGCCAGTTAACTCTTAAAAATAACTTGTTCTAATTGGGTTTAAACCTATTGATTAATTAATTGGCATGTATTATGCCATTACCTATTATCTGTTTTCTTACAGTTGTCTGTGCTCTCACGAATAAATACATTTTCATTTACATACTTTAATAATTAATTTAAAATACACATTTCGACATCAAAGTGTTCATTTAGATGGTTTGTAGTTGTGCCACTTTATCTCTTAGTACCAGCAACTTAGTTTTCCCCTTTTTCTCCTTTAAACACCACGGTAATAGGTAATTACTGCCAATTATTGACATTTAATGTTGTATTGGACAACAACACTCAGTCATTATACTGTTTTATTATTCTATAGTCTACAAAAATTAGATTTGCCCAGCCACATGTATATTATTTCACTCAGAAGGGTGCATCATTCTCATTCTGTCAAAGCACATAAGCTGACAAAATCATCCATTGTGTAATGAAATGAAATTGGCAGCTACTTTGCATGTTTGTTTCACTCTGTGTTACCTGATATGTGTTAAAAAAATTCTAAATTCATCCATTTTTTTTCTGCAGCGCAACCTAAAGACGAACCATTAAATGATACGTTTATCAACAATCCTTCTGAAAACTTGGATTCATCTTCCACATCTTCATCTGCATCATCTGAGTGGTCATCCTCATCCTCATCTTCACCCCCAAAGAAGCAAAAGCGCAAATTCAAAAACAAGCATTCAAAAGCCAAGAAATACAAGAAGGAGGAAAAGAAGTTCCGGCAGCGTGGTGAGCAAAATACTTATATTCAGAAGATATGTAGCCTGGCCTGCCAGACTCCTCCTCTGTTGAATTCTGCACAGAGAAAGAGTCTGGTAACTCTCCTATGTAAATAACCCCACCCAAATGAAAATGCTAACCAAACCAATCATCACTGAGCAGCGTATGTCACACACACAGTGAAGCTCAAATTCTCATAAACAATTATGTCTGAAGCGGAGTTCACCGCGGCTCTTTCCTCTGTTGTAAATGACTTGGACATGTCTTTGAAACCACAACAAGAACCGCTAAAAATCTTTCTTCTAAAGAAAGATGTTTGCGCCATTACCAGGCTCCATTTTTTACTACAGCTAAAAAAACTACTGCGTCACATGGTACAGTTGGCATTTCCACTTTTTTTTTTTTTGATTGGTCATTTTTGAGCTGGCTAATCCCGCCCCTCATGTGCCTCTCTGCCTGTGAGTTACCAGACTCTCTGTGCAGAAGTCTAGTCTGGCAGGCCAGGCTAGAAGATATGTTCTTTGGAGATAAAATTACCATTTAAACATTTTCTTCAAACTACATTGTATTTGACACCAAACTTGAATATAAGGTTTGGACTGATGCGCATTTTTAGAAATGCATACACACACACACACACACGTATATGCATGTGTGTGTGTAAATTATAGTAACAGATTGTATTGTGTGCCATGAGCATTTGTTTCTAACAGTTTTCTTTGTTTTAATTTGATTCTCAGTCCGAACACCAAGTGAGATTGTGCAGAGATACAAGTCCCTCCTCAAGACATTTCCAAAGATGAAGACCTTGTCCAAAGCTTTTCAGAAGCATGGGATTGACAGAAACACAGTTGTGTCCACGGCATCAGTTGCTGAGCTCGCTATCGCAGCTCCTCTTGTTTACCAGGAGCTGATCTCCAACAAGCCCAGTGGAGAGACGGTACTCCATTTTGCTAAGCGATGTGAGGAAGAGATTCAAAGCAATGATGAAGTGAAAAACAAAATAGAAAGCATGAAGGCTGATGGATCTTTGCTTCCAATTCGAAGAGGCAAGTCTGTCTGAAAGCCTACTCAGTTATCTGACTTGTTCTGTTTCAGCATATTTAGCTATAGAACAGATGTGTGTGAAACTGGTAATTTTTTAACGATCTGTTCAGTTATGTGTTCAGTTTCCACACAACAAAGATTTTTTTTGTCATTTTTGTTTAGAAGGTTTTGTGTGTTCTAAGTGTAACCAAAACAACTGCACATGTTAAGATAGAGTATTGTCTAATGTTATAAGGCAGCTTGTTATACTTTACATAGTAAGGCCCCTAGTCTTCAAAAAGTTTACTGGTTATAAATAATTGTTAACTAGTTTCATACTAAAAAAGTTTCATTTTACATTTAAAAATGTTTAAGAGTCATTAATAAACACTGATATGTTTTATACTTTACAATAAGGCTCCCTTTTGTAATTATAAATGTTTATTAACTATTAATAAATAAAGACATATTTTACACTTTACAATAAGGCTCCAGTTTGTATTTATAAATGTTTATTAATCATTAATAAATAAAGACATGTTTTATACTTTACAATAAGGCTCCCTTTTGTAATTATAAATGTTTATTAACTATTAATAAATAAAGACATATTTTACACTTTACAATAAGGCTCCAGTTTGTATTTATAAATGTTTATTAATCATTAATAAATAAAGACATGTTTTACACTTTACAATAAGGCTCCAGTTTGTATTTATAAATGTTTATTAATCATTAATAAATAAAGACATGTTTTACACTTTACAATAAGGCTCCAGTTTGTATTTATAAATGTTTATTAATCATTAATAAATAAAGACACGTTTTACACTTTACAATAAGGCTCCAGTTTGTATTTATAAATGTTTATTAACTATTAATGAATAAAGACATATTTTACACTTTACAATAAGCCTCCCTTTAATCATTGTATTTATAATGCAGTTATAAGGTACATTATTAGTTGCCCAAAACCTTGTTTACAAATGCTAATAGTGCTTAAAAGGTAGTTTCTTAGTTTGAAATGTTTAATATATGAAGTCTAGATAAAGTACATAAGTCAACAGATTTGGTTCACTATTTGGCAAGAAACTAGTAAGTTTAGTGTCTTTTTCACCCTTAATTAATGCATAATAAATGTTTATTAGTCATATATAAGGCATTATATATTGATTAATAAGACATTTATAAACCATTTATTAGCCATTTATAAGGGAGCCTTATTGTAAAGTGGTACCCATTCCTTTTTGTGGTTGTAGGGGCTTTTGGTTGGAGTACATTAAAACAAACCTGATCTCTCTAGGACATTCAGAAGCCAAGTTATAAGCCCACAAATGTGTAACTGGACAACTTTAAATTGACACCAGATCCGGTGACCTTTGGGACATGGTTTGACCCCCTTAGGAAAGTGTGATCATCTTGAAACGTTCAGATCACTTACAACTCAATAGATTCTACCTTCTTGTAACGTTTCAGCCTGATTGGACCTTGTTTTCACACAAATGGACCCAGAATGATGTGAAATTGTGCTTCGTGCAACATAATTCTGGGTGCCATTTAAAAACCATAAGTGCTAATGACTCCATTCCTTTTTGTGTTTGTAGGGGCTGTTCATTGGAGTATACTAAAACAAACCTGATCCCTCTAGGACATTCAGAAGCCAAGTTATAAGCCCACAAATGTGTAACTGGACTACTTCTTTAAATTGACACCAGATCCGGTGACCTTTGGGACATGGTTTGACCCCCTTAGGAAAGTGCTATCATCTTGAAACGTTCAGATCACTTACAACTCAATAGATTCTACCTTCCTGTAACATTTCAGCCTGATTGGACCTTGTTTTCACACAAATGGACCCAGAATGTTGTGAAATTGTGCTTCGTGCAACATAATTCTGGGTGCCATTTACAAACCATAAGTGCTAATGACTCCATTCCTTTTCGTAGTTGTAGGGGCTGTTGATTGGAGTACATTAAAACAAACCTGATCTCTCTAGGACATTCAGAAGCAGAGTTATAAGCCCACAAATGTGTAACTGGACTACTTCTTTAAAGTGACACCAGGCCCGGTGACCTTTGGGACATGGTTTTACCCCCTATAGGAATGTGCGATCATCATGAAACGTTCAGATCACTTACAACTCAATAGATTCTACCTTCTTGTAACGTTTCAGCCTGATTGGACCTTGTTTTCACACAAATGAACCCAGAATGATGTGAAATTGTGCTTCGTGCAACATAATTCTGGGTGCCATTTAAAAACCATAGGTGCTAATGACTCCATTCCTTTTAGTGGTAATGGGGGCTGTTAATTGGAGTACTCTAAAACAAACCTGGCCTCTCTAGGATAATCAGAAGCCAAGTTATAAGCCCACAAAGGTGTAACTGGACTACTTCTTTAAAGTGACACCAGGCCCGGTGACCTTTGGGACATGGTTTGACCCTCTATAGGAATGAGCGATCATCATGAAACGTTCAGATCACTTACAACTCAATAGATTCTACCTTCTTGTAACGTTTCAGCCTGATTGGACCTTGTTTTCACACAAATGGACCCAGAATGATGTGAAATTGTGCTTCGTGCAACATAATTCTGGGTGCCATTTACAAACCATAAGTGCTAATGACTCCATTCCTTTTTGTGGTTGTAGGGGCTGTTGATTGGAGTACACTAAAGCAAACCTGATCTCTCTAGGACATTCAGAAGCCAAGTTATAAGCCCACAAAGGTGTAACTGGACTACTACTTTAAAGTGACACCAGGCCAGGTGACCTTTGGGAAATGGTTTGACCCCCTATAGGAATGTGCGATCATCTTGAAACGTTCAGATCACTTACAACTCAATAGATTCTACCTTCTTGTAACGTTTCAGCCTGATTGGACCTTGTTTTCACACAAATGGAAGCAGAATGATGTGAAATTGTGCTTCGTGCAACATAATTCTGGGTGCCATTTAAAAACCATAAGTGCTAATGACTCCATTCCTTTTGTGGTTGTCGGGGCTGTTGGTTGGAGTACATTAAAACAAACCTGATCTCTCTAGGACATTCAGAAGCCAAGTTATAAGCCCACAAATGTGTAACTGGACTACCTCTTTAAATTGACACCAGATCCGGTGACCTTTGGGACATGGTTTGACCCCCTTAGGAAAGTGTGATCATCTTGAAACGTTCAGATCTCTTACAACTGAATAGATTCTACCTTCTTGTAACGTTTCAGCCTGATTGGACCTTGTTTTCACACAAATGGACCCAGAATGATGTGAAATTGTGCTTCGTGCAACATAATTCTGGGTGCCATTTAAAAACCATAAGTGCTAATGACTCCATTCCTTTTTGTGTTTGTAGGGGCTGTTCATTGGAGTATACTAAAACAAACCTGATCCCTCTAGGACATTCAGAAGCCAAGTTATAAGCCCACAAATGTGTAACTGGACTACTTCTTTAAATTGACACCAGATCCGGTGACCTTTGGGACATGGTTTGACCCCCTTAGGAAAGTGCTATCATCTTGAAACGTTCAGATCACTTACAACTCAATAGATTCTACCTTCCTGTAACATTTCAGCCTGATTGGACCTTGTTTTCACACAAATGGACCCAGAATGATGTGAAATTGTGCTTCGTGCAACATAATTCTGGGTGCCATTTACAAACCATAAGTGCTAATGACTCCATTCCTTTTCGTAGTTGTAGGGGCTGTTGATTGGAGTACATTAAAACAAACCTGATCTCTCTAGGACATTCAGAAGCAGAGTTATAAGCCCACAAATGTGTAACTGGACTACTTCTTTAAAGTGACACCAGGCCCGGTGACCTTTGGGACATGGTTTTACCCCCTATAGGAATGTGCGATCATCATGAAACGTTCAGATCACTTACAACTCAATAGATTCTACCTTCTTGTAACGTTTCAGCCTGATTGGACCTTGTTTTCACACAAATGAATCCAGAATGATGTGAAATTGTGCTTCGTGCAACATAATTCTGGGTGCCATTTAAAAACCATAGGTGCTAATGACTCCATTCCCTTTAGTGGTAATGGGGGCTGTTAATTGGAGTACTCTAAAACAAACCTGACCTCTCTAGGATAATCAGAAGCCAAGTTATAAGCCCACAAAGGTGTAACTGGACTACTTCTTTAAAGTGACACCAGGCCCGGTGACCTTTGGGACATGGTTTGACCCTCTATAGGAATGAGCGATCATCATGAAACGTTCAGATCACTTACAACTCAATAGATTCTACCTTCTTGTAACGTTTCAGCCTGATTGGACCTTGTTTTCACACAAATGGACCCAGAATGATGTGAAATTGTGCTTCGTGCAACATAATTCTGGGTGCCATTTACAAACCATAAGTGCTAATGACTCCATTCCTTTTTGTGGTTGTAGGGGCTGTTGATTGGAGTACACTAAAGCAAACCTGATCTCTCTAGGACATTCAGAAGCCAAGTTATAAGCCCACAAAGGTGTAACTGGACTACTTCTTTAAAGTGACACCAGGCCAGGTGACCTTTGGGAAATGGTTTGACCCCCTATAGGAATGTGCGATCATCTTGAAACGTTCAGATCACTTACAACTCAATAGATTCTACCTTCTTGTAACGTTTCAGCCTGATTGGACCTTGTTTTCACACAAATGGAAGCAGAATGATGTGAAATTGTGCTTCGTGCAACATAATTCTGGGTGCCATTTAAAAACCATAAGTGCTAATGACTCCATTCCTTTTGTGGTTGTCGGGGCTGTTGGTTGGAGTACATTAAAACAAACCTGATCTCTCTAGGACATTCAGAAGCCAAGTTATAAGCCCACAAATGTGTAACTGGACTACCTCTTTAAATTGACACCAGATCCGGTGACCTTTGGGACATGGTTTGACCCCCTTAGGAAAGTGTGATCATCTTGAAACGTTCAGATCTCTTACAACTGAATAGATTCTACCTTCTTGTAACGTTTCAGCCTGATTGGACCTTGTTTTCACACAAATGGACCCAGAATGATGTGAAATTGTGCTTCGTGCAACATAATTCTGGGTAACATTTAAAAACCATAAGTGCTAATGACTCCATTCCTTTTTGGGGTAATGTGGCTGTTGATTGGAGTACACTAAAACAAACCTGACTTCTCTAGGACATTCAGAAGCCAAGTTATAAGCCCACAAAGGAGTAACTGGACTACTTCTTTAAAGTGACACCAGGCCCGGTGACCTTTGGGACATGGTTTG